AAGAGAGAGAAAGAAAGGAGAGAAACCGTAGAGCCGATGAAATCAATGAGTTGCAAAGGCAAGTCGATGAACAAGTTCTCATAGCAGTGGCAATGGAAGAGAAAGAGAACCAAGGTCGCCGCTGTGGTTCACAAGTCGGCCGTCGCCGGAATGTGGACAGACATAGGCATTCTCGGGGTAAGAATCTTTTGGAAGATTATTTTATCCCAACTGCTTTGTACTCTGATGTTGATTTTCGAAGGCGATTTAGAATGCAACCCCATTTGTTCAATAAAGTCATGCATGATATTTGCAATTATGATGCATACTTTGTTCAAAAGTGTGATGCTACTGGGGTTTTGGGCCTTCTTCCGGAGCAAAAGCTTACAGCTGTTATACGAATGTTGGCGTATGGAGCATCTGCTGATCAGGTGGATGAGGTATGTCGAATAGGGAAGTCCACTACGTTGGAGGCTTTGGTAAGATTTTGTGATGCAGTTGAAAATCTGTACGTTAGGGACTACCTGCGTAGACCTACTCCCAGGGACCTCTAACGGCTTCTACAAAAAGCCGAAACTCGAGGATTTCCAGGAATGATTGGGAGCATCGACTGCATGCATTGGCAATGGAAGAATTGCCCAACTGCCTGGCAAGGTGATTACGGAAATAGAAAAGGCACAAAAAGTATCATCCTGGAAGCCGTTGCTGGCTTCGACACATGGGTTTGGCATGCTTTCTTCGGAGTTGCAGGAGCCCAAAATGACCTCAACGTCCTAGGTCAATCTCCGGTCTTCAACGATGTTTTGAGCGGCCAAGGCCCCAATATTACCTATCAAGTCAACAATACAGTCTACCAGACGGGGTATTATCTAGCTGACGGTATCTACCCAAGGTGGACCACATTTGTCAAATCCATTCCGAATCCCCGATCCCATAAGCAAAAATTATTTGCTACTTATCAAGAAGGATACAGGAAAAATGTCGAAATGTGTTTTGGCATCCTTCAAGCTTGATGGTTGATTGTTCGAGGTGCGGCCCGTATGTTTGATGAGGAGGTCCTCAGAAGCATTATGATGACTTGCATCATCCTCCATAATATGATTGTGGAGGATGAGTATGATTATGATGCTGTAGAGGTCTACGAATCGGATGCCTTTAACATGGCCTTGACACGAATTTATGAAAGGCCCATGGGGCCAAGTGGAGAACCGTTTGAGCCGGATCCGTTGGTTAGGGATGGTCGTTTCATGACCCTTATGATAGATCGATATACAGAGATGCAATCTTCGTATATTCATGAAAGGCGTCA